AATCAGATATGATATTTTGCTAATTATGGGTTCAATTTTAAATGATTTTGACCCTTCTAAATTCTATACATATTCCATCCCTTCCTATTCAAATACAGTTAATAATCCAAAGGTATGTGTATCTGTCTATATATGTTCGTGATAAGCGCATGTGAATAAATGCGAGTGTATATGTATGCATTGGTGTGTATGTGTGTTAGTGTATGCTGAATAATATATATATATAGATTAATTATTATATATTATATATAACTATTAGGATTAACAATATATTTATTAGCTTTTCTTTGCAAGGTTTTTACTTAAGATTAGTACATGTACTATTTGTAAACCTCTGTGTATGTAGCAACTATTTCAGAAATATATTAATTGATTGATTGAGATTCAATTATAAACCTTATTTTATCTAAAATGCTTTCTTTTCTTGCAATTTAAAAAACAATTTATCTTAGTTAAAAACAGTTATGTCATAGTTAAAATAATAAATAAACCAATAAATTTTTTAAATGTATTTTAGCCTTATAGTTTTAAGTAAAGCTCAAACTGGTTAATAATTTAATTTTTAAATTTACTATTATTCTTTTAGCAGCCAGTCTTATTGTATTTCCTATTGCATTACTTTAAGGTTTTTTTTTAAATCATCTTTTTTTCTTACAAAGCTCTTACTTGATATTTTTTCACATAAAATTAAATTACTTATTAAAAATTATTACAAAAATTAGAAAAAGCTAATTATACACTATTTTTTTAAATTAGTTTGAAAATAAAATAAAAGTGGTTAATAAGAAATTTATTTTAAGAAATATTAAATTAAAAAAAAAATAGAAAAAACAACAACATTTAAATTAAATAAAATTACATAAAACAAACATTTAAATTAAATAAAATTTAATAAAACAAACATTTCTTCAGCATTTATTGAGTTATGCAACAAGTTTTGAAATGTGAATTTCTAATCATAGTTGTAATAAATAGGCAGTTGTAAATAGTTGTAATTAAATAGGCAGTAAATTTTTTTTTTTCGTTAATTCACCTCCTCAAGGCCGAGAAGCCCACTACAGACCAGGAGGCTACTTATTTGTGGTTATAACCCTCTCTCAACTCTATAACTCCGAAACAGGAACCTTGACGAACAATTGCCGCTGTGCGGAGAAACGAGTTGAGTGCGGTACTACCATGGACATGGTGGGGATCAAACTTGGAACCTCTTGCTTATGAAGCGAACGCTCTACCACTACACCACTACAGCATAGTTGTAAATAAATAGGCAGATGTTTATTACTTTTGGCTTTTGTTTTGTAGAATGCTTACTAGGCAAAGACTTAAGGGGTTATTTAAAAAATTTTATTTTTATAAAAAATTAACATTTTATCTTAAAGTTCAACAGCCATTTAGGGCCCCATGCTGTAGCATAAGTGAGATCCTTTTCAAATTCATATGCCCCCTCCAAGCAATTAGAGAGTATTGGTTTCTTATTAAGACAAGAATATATGGTAGTATTATTGCGAAAAATGCCACCATAGATCTGAGAATTTCTGGATGATTGTTCACTTAAATTAAAAAGAGTATAGGTTTAAGGATAGAACCTTTAGGAACCCCTGAAGTTACTGGAAACTTTAGGAATATATAGAACCTTTAGGAGCCTTTAGGAACCTTTAGGAACCTTTAGGAGGATTTTAGAAAGATAGAACCTTTAGGAACCCCTGAAGTTACAGTGCTGTCCATGGAGGACAACTTTTATACTATGATTGGTAAGGAATAATTCAATAATTTTAAAGATGTTGCTAAATACACTACAAGAAGAAAGCTTATGGAGAAGACTAGCATTCCAAACCTTATCAAAAGCTTTAGAAATCTTGGGAGCGATAGCCTTGACCTCTTCATATCCATTTAATGGACGATAAAACCTATTAGTTAGTACTATTAGTAAATCAGCTGTAGAACCAGAAGATCCAAATCCATATTGATGATCAAAAAGTAAGTTATCAGATTCATAATAAGTGTTTGTTAATAAAAAAACTCAAAAACCTTGTTTATGATAAAAAGAAGACTAATGGGACAGTAATTAGACGAGTCATATCGCTCTCCAGATTTTTTGAAAATAGGGATAACAGGTGCCGCTTTCAGCAGGCTGGAAAACAAGGCTTTGTTAAGGACTTGTTAAATAGTTTTGAAAGCATAGACGACAAGACAGGAGAACACTTCTGCAAGATTATAAAAGGTATTTTGAATGAACCACAAGCTGTAGAAGAAGAGTCTGAGCAGGAAATCACTTTAAATATAGAAGCTGGAGTGATATGAGTGTCAAGCAATGGATCAAACTGTTTGTTGGCTATATCAGGTAGAACACAACTAGTGGAATCAAAAGATGATATTGATGAAAAGTTCTGAGAAAACAATTCAGGTTTGTCTTTAGGTGAGGTGACAAATTCTGAACCATACAAGAGAGGTGAAATAACAGACTTGGATTTGTTGAAAAGGAATAAAAGATTCCATGCCAGCCTTAATCCAAAAGTTACATTTGTCAGCAGAAAAAGGAACAATTTTTACCCAAGGGCCATCACAAAGAAAATCACAGAAAAAGTTAGTCAGCTTTAAGGTAGTTATAAGAGTTAGGATGATAATAAAAAATTTTGATAATAAAGAATGAGATGATAGTTTTAGAGAGATCAAACCGTGATCAAAAGTAGTGTTATATGAAAGCACATAAAAGAATAGTTTGAAATTTCACCATATGAAAAAAACTTATGGAGAAGACCAGCATGCCAAACTTTGTTGAAAACCTTAGATATGTCAAAAGCAATTGTCCTAGCCTCTCTGCCTCCATCTAATGCACGATAAAATCTTTCAGTCACAGCAGTTAGCAAGTCAGCCGTAGAGCAAGAGAATCAAAAACCGTGTTGATTATCTGACAGCAAATTTATTGACTGAGAATGGGATGGAGAAAATTTGTTTATCAAAGACCCAATGACTTTGCTAATAACAGAAAGAAAACTGATCAGTCGATAATCGGAGGGGTCAGAATAGAGTTTAATTAAAATATGACTTTAGCAATGGAAGCTGGAGTGATTTGAATATCTAACAATGGGTTAACTTGTTTCATTTGAATGGAAGGAAGAGAATGGCCATAAGATTTGAGAGTTGAAATAGAAGAAAAGTTCTTTGAAAATAGTTCAGCCTTATCCATGGTAGAGTTAATAAAGTCAGTCCCATGATTGAGAGATGGATTATTAGACCTACCTACAGCACCCTTTTACTTTGATTTCTTGCAATAATAAATAATTGTTTGTTCTCAAAAAAGATATTCTTTTGAAAAAAATAATTACGATTAGATGTAGCAGCTGCACAAGAACGTGAAAATTATGGAGCAGAATAGGTTTTACTTTGAAACAATAAGTAGGAATAAAATGTTATGTAATATGTGCATTTTTCAGGGAAGAAAAAAAAGACATCAGCCCAAAAAACATTTGTCCTTGGGCTGTCACGTTTCTTTTTTGAAAAGAATCTTGAGTCTGAAGATTTAATTCAAGATGAAAAATTTAAAGAGATCATTTATGGTTAGAACCACCTAAAGGAGGAAAAGAAGACACTGAACACAAGGTAGGGTCAGAGACAAGACAAATCAAGGAGTAAAGGTAAGTGATTAGAGTTATCTGGAAAGATAATGAGTTGCAAAGTCCAAGTAAAAGATTAAAAAATGCAGAAGTTTTGAGCATTAGGCCAGCAGGGTCAATTGTATTGCAGCCAAGCCATATAATACGATGTACATTTAAGTCACCAATTACAACAATATTGGCAAAGGGGTAAAGAGAAATTAGCATTTGATCATAAATTCTAAAAGAGTCTTGAGAAGTAGAATGATAAAAAACATGAAAAAAAAAAAATGATAAAGATATTTTAAGATGAGATAGATATTCTATAGTTATTCTTTATATAGTTGTTTTATTTAAATAATTTTTAGTAAGTGATAATAAAAATCTTTAAAATTTTTGTCTTGAATTAACAATTAATGTTCAATAACTTTTTTTTGTAAAATTGTAAACCTCTTGAAAAAAAATGAGAACATGCTTATTCCTTTTTTTCCTTTAATAAGACTTAATTTATGTTCCTAAATTTTTTTATCTTATAATTCTTATTTTCTTACAATAACTCAAATGAAACTTAATTTGGTATTCTTATTTTCTGATGCAGCTTATTATGACCCTCACCTTACCTAGATGCAGCTTATTATGACCCTCACCTTAATTATATGGCCACTCGGACATACTATATTAACAGTTTTTAACATTATTTATTAAGCAAAAAACTATAAATTTATAAAATGGCAAATAAATGTTATAAATTAAAATTAAGGAGATACTGTTGCAATTTTTAAGTAAAAGTAAAACTGTAAAAACATAATTTTTAACATTACATACTTTGAAGTTTATGTAAGTTTGATGTTTGCATTCATTCTTGCTCACATTTTCTTATAAAAAAAGTGCTCCAACTCTTTCTTGTTGTTAACTCGGGTGTAATGGCTGCCATGAATTCTGTCAAACACGCAGAAATGAGTAGCGGCAATAGCAACAACTGCATTAAGTTCAATATTAAAATACTATAATATTTTAATATTTACTAGATTTTATCACAATTATTTTAGCATTTTACTCCTTAGCTACTATTCATTTTCCATTGGACATATGAATTGCTAACTTGAAAAAGAGGAGATGTTATGTGAATTTTTGCAGGACATGTCCCCTTTTTCTTGTTAATCATATGTCCTTTTGTATTTTCGAACTCTGCTAACCTCTTTTTAATTTATTAAGCTTATGCAAGGTATACACTGCTCAGTGCAGCTTTACTAAAACACATTGCATTCCCAAAAAAAGGAGAAAAAAAATTTAAATAATTTTTTGCATGCCTAAGTGGGAAATTACTATGGTTACAATTTCCAAATTTTTCTATACTTTTTTTTATTTTAGTAAATATAAAATAATTGTAAACATTCTTTTATTTAGAAGATCAATATCAAAATACCGACTTTCATAATCAAATAATCAATGCTGTAAGTCTATTTAAAAAAATATATTTTTTTATATACATATTATTGTCTGGTTATTTTTATATACATATATATTATTTTTTTCATTAAATTATTTTATCAACTATTATAAGTATAATAACTTTTTATGAATTTTTGCTAAACTTTGTCTTATTTCCTTGACTTTAAAATATTTGACTTTTATCTTGCATTTGTAGCTTGTGGCTTTAGCTTTTTAAAGCTTTAAATTATGTTCTAATCTTAGTTAGCTTTCTCAGACATAGCATTGTCTTATGACCTTACAGACATGGCATTGTCTTATGACATAGCATTGTCTTATGACCTTACTCAGACATAAGACTCAGACATTAAGACTCAGACATTAAGACATACCATTGTCTTATGACCTTACTCAGACCTAGCATTGTCTTATAACCTTAGGTGGTCTTAGCTCTGCTATCTCTCACCTGGAAAACAACTCTCTTTTTTTTTAAAAAATGCTGTTTTTTAACTTTTCCCCTTCATTGTTGTAAACAACAAGTAATTAAAATGGTAAAAAAAGAAAAAAGCTTGTTTTGTTTAGGAGCCAGCTAAAAAAAAAAACATGTGTACTATTAATGAGCTGTTTGAAGGACAGTCATTTCCCTACCGGCTTTTTTATCTTGTCAGTGACAACCATCGTTTTGAGAATGTAATAAATTGGAGCTATGATGGGAGTTGCATTGAAATTCCTTCTCAATTAAGTTTTTTGAATAAAGTGTTGCTGAGAAGAAATCAAAAGATTTTCAAAACAGAATCTATGAAATCTTTTGTTCGGCAATTAAATTTATATGGATTTCGAAAGGTTAGTTTTTTATTTTATATTTTAATTATCAATTAAATATATGGAAAAATTAAATTACTAATTTATATATATATATATGTATATATATATATATATATATATATATATATATATATATATATATATATATATATATATATATATATATATATATATTTATGTATATATATATACATACAGGCCTTGGCTAGAAGAAATGATTACAAGAGTGTTAAAAAGCTCTCCTAAAACGAACATGGCGAGCTATGCAAGCTGCTTCTCTAAATTCTTTAGACAAGCATTGTTTTTATTGCTTATAAAAAAAGTTTGATATTTTCTTATTGTATTAGAATGCAGGGATTTTAGGAATTGTTAAAGATAATTATTAAAATGACTATATATATATATATATATATATATATATATATATATATATATATATATATATATATATATATATATATATATATATATATATATATATATATATATATAAATAATATATATATAAATTAGTAAAAATATATATTTAATTTTTGTCTCCATCAGTAGCTTTCTGATGTTGTTTGAATTTAATTGATGTTTGAAGTTGTTTCTCCATCAGTAACTTCCTGATGAACCTACTAATGGAAAGACAGTTTGTTAAAGAAAAAAATTACATGTATTTTTAATAATTTATTATTGCTCTGTTCTTTAAGAACATTGGGCATTCTATCCAACATGGTTATATATATGTATGTATGTATGTATGTATGTATGTATGTATGTATGTATGTATGTATGTATGTATGTATGTATGTATGTATGTATGTATGTATGTATATATATATATATATATATATATTCAGCCTTATTAGATTTAATTTAGCTGCATTAGATCATCCCCATATAATAACCATTACAGAGACCTGTTTCAAAAACCAGGTCTCTGTAATGGTTTTTAGAGCATGCAGGGACAGATACAGTAAAAGTTTTTAGAGCATGCAGGGACAGATACAGTAAACAAACGATACTTAGCTGAATGACGAGTAAAACAAGAATGAATTTTAGTTGATGGAACTAGAGATGATAACTCCTTTGAGCAGTGAACGTGATAGTATTTGTAGAAAAGAGAAAGAGATGCAACTTTACGACAATGGGAAAGAGGCTCAAGCTTAGCAGATAGTCCAGGTCCAACAACATTTACAATGCGTTTTTGGACCTTGTCAAGAAGAGAAAGTGAATCATTAGAAGAACCAGCCCAAATATGACAACAATAATGCATACAGGGACGAATAAGAGATTTGTAGAGGTAGAGAATGGAATCAGAAGTAAGGAAATGGCGAGCATGATAAAGAGAAGCAACCTTAGCAGAAGCTAATTTAGCAATCGATTGTATATATGGTTTCCATGAAAGGTCAGTAGTAAGCGATAATCCAAGAAGACGTAAAGAGGAGGACTCAGTAAGAGGATTGCCATTCATTAATATAAGAATGTTGACCATATTACGGTAGTTGTTTGCAGTAAACAACTGGGTTTTGTTAGAGTTGAAATTCACAAGCCACTGTGAACCACAATCTATTACTGAAGTGAGATTGGATTAAAGATCAGCTGCTTGTTCTAGGCGATCGAAAAGACAAGACTTTATGTCAAGACAGGAATATAAAATTGAGTCATCAGCAAAAAGAGCTACTTTAGATGAAAGGTTGTCAGAAAGATTGTTTATGTAGATAAGAAACAAAACAGGGCCCAGGATGGAACCTTGGGGAACCCCAGAAGTTACTGGAAATAAAGAAGAGTGTTGGCCTTCAAGGATGACTTTAATAAACCGGTTAGAAAGAAATGGTTTGATAATCTCAAAAACTTTCCCAGAAACACCATATGAAGCAAGTTTATGGAGAAGACCAGCATGACAAACTTTGTCGAAAGCTTAAGATATGTCGAGAGCAATAGCCCTAGCCTCACCGCCTCCATCTAATGCACAATAAAATCTTTCAGTTACAGCAGTTAGCAAGTTGGCCGTAGAGCGAGAGGATCGAAAACCCTATTGATTATCTGACAGTAGTTTATTTGACTCAAGATGAGATGTGAGGAATTTGTTGATCAAAGACTCAAAGACCTTGCTAATTCTCCAGAGTTTTTGAATATTGGAACCACAGATGCCATTTTCCAACAAGCTGGAAAACAAGACTCAGTCAAACACTTGTTAAATAGTTTAGAGAGAATTGAAGAAAGTTCTGGAGAACAATTCTGCAAGACTGTGACAGGAATGTTGTCTGGACCACAAGCTGTAGACGAGTTTAATTGAGATATGACTTTAGCAACAGAAGCCAGAGTGGTTTGAATGTCTAACAATGGTTCAACCTGTTTGACTGAGATGGAAGGAAGAGAATGTCCATAAGATTCAAGAGTGAAATTAGAAGAAAAGTTCTTTGCAAATAGTTCTGCCTTACCCCTTGGGAGAGGTAATAAGATCAGTCCCGGGAATGTTAGATCTACCCTTGAGAGATGGAATGTTAGATCTACCCTTGTTAAAAATGCTGTTGAAGATTTTCCAAAAGTCTTTAGAGCCTAACTTCTGTGATAAGATGCGAGATTTAGTGAACTGAGAATAATGGAGTTTAGCATCAGTAAGCACCTTTTTACATCGATTTCTTGCAATAATAAATAGCCGTTTGTTTTCAAGAGAGTTGTTCTTTAGAAAAAGATAAAAAAAATGATTACGATTGGATATAGCAGCCGCACAAGAAGGAGAAACCATGGAGTAGAATGAGGCTTGACTTGAAACCGACGAGAAGGAATAAAAGCTTCCATTCCAGCCTGAATCCAGGTTACGTAGGAGGTGCATTTGTCAGCTGAGAAAGAAAAAACATCAGCCCAAGGACCATCATGAAGAAAATCACCAAAAGAATCCCAGTCAGCTTTAGGGTAGTAGTAGGTGGTGCAATGATAAAGTGAGCCCAAAAAAGAAGTACGAGAAGAAAGATTTATAGAGGTCATTGCATGATCAGAACCACCTAAGGGAGAAAAGGGAGAAACTGAACATAAGGGTTGTCAGGAAAACGGTCACAAAGTTAACTATCTGAATAAGAGATTGAGAAACGCAGAAGTTAAAGGCTTTAGTGCCAGCAGGATCAGTGGTGTTAGAGCCAAGCCATTCAGTGTGATGGGCATTAAAATCACCAACAACAACAATATTGGCAGAGGGGTAAAAAGAGAGGGCATGGTCAATTTGATCAGAGATAACATCTAAAAGAGTGCAATCATAGGAAGAAGGAGAACGATAAAGAACAAAGAGAAAGGTGATAGAGTGAAGAGGTGCTAGGCGAAAGCACATAAAAGAACGGTCAAAGGATTCGAACCTGATTTCACGACAAATAGGGGAATTAATGCGTATGTATACCCCTAAACCTAGCATGTGACTGTTGGAGTCTTTACGAATCAAAGGATAGTACCCATCAACACTAACATCTGAAGAAGGAATTGCAAAATTTAAATTTGTTTCACTGAGTGCAAGCAAGTCTGGTAAATTTTGCAGGAGGTAAGACTCAACTGACGGAAAGTTGCTTTGCAGACCACAAATATTTGTAAAAGATATATTAAAACATTTAGGTGGTGGGGATGGTTTTTTAGGTTTAAAATTTTTGGTTACTTTGGTCATGATATGGGTTTAATGAGAACTTGACTCATTCATAGATAGAGCACAGCCTCCTAATCAATGAGCTATGCAGTTATCTCAGTCCTGTTAATTAACCCTAAGCTGTGACATAGGGCTCCTTATGTGACCTTGACAATGCACACCAAAAGCATTAACAGGGACACCATCCATGCGCAACATGGCACTGTTAATACTCTGATATTTTGCAGCTGTTGATGGAATCAGCCTCTCTGAGAGCTACCACAGAGTTCGGGAAACCTTACTACCAGCTGGCCTCAGAACCATTAAACTGAGTTTTAGAGCTGTACCCTCATATGGAGATAACAGGAAGAGTTGCATAGCCATTATCAAGGAGGCATAAGCAAAATTCTATGAGTAGAGTCAAGGAGATCCAGCATTCATCATCCTAGGCAGGAAACAATGTAACACAGGTTACATCTACGACAGCCTAATAGATGAAGAAGGGGTTCGAGGCTGGTTAGCAGAATTTTTCTGCTTACCCCTAAAGTCTTTGCCTAGGAGGCCTTCTACAAAACAGTAGCTGGATACAGTTAACATCTGCCCAAAATGAGTATTTTTATCAAGACACCATTTCTAGCCTTTACTCAACCAAGAGCCCCAAGGCAGGGGATGTTTAGCTGGATGCAGTTAACATCTGCCCAAGATGAGTGTTTTTATCAAGACACCATCTGTAGCCTTTACTCAACCAAGAGCCCCAAGGCAGGGGAATTTTTAGTCAGAGTTTATTTCTCCTAGCCTTTGCCTAAGAAGAGCACACTCTGCAAGGCAGCAGGGCTTGTGGCAGGTGGTACTGGGTTACGTGATACCAGTAGCAAGATTGATGTTGATTACCCTGACCTGACCTGGAGTAGTTAAAAGGAGTTACTTCCCGCAACAGTACTTTGAGAAAACCAGGCATGACATTTTGGAAGTGCATTAGGAAAAACACTGCATCTAACAAAATACAGGAGTCTAAGGTGAGTGTAGGTTTTGTAGTTGGAGTAAGTAGCTATTTACTGAGCTCACGCTGCATTAGAGAATAAACGGAACACAAACAAACGTTAATTAACTTACGTGTAAGTCAACACCGCGCCAGAGGTTCAGACAGAACACAAACATTTATAAAAAACATAAAGTAACTTATGGGTGAGCAAACACCGCATCAGAGCTTCAGACAGAACACAAACATACATATAAAGTAGATTACAGGTGAGCTAATACAGTAACTAAGTTACTATAGGCATGACTGATATAAGATACTGATGACAGGAGGCACACTCCTTCCAGCCTTTGCTTAGAAAGCAAATCCTGCAAGGCAGCAGAACATGGAACAGGTTGCACTGGGTTACATGTTACCAGTAGCAGGATGATCATGAAGACCATA